CAAGGCATAAAACTCATAATCAAGTGTGGGACTACACTTTTCAAGGGTTGCATGAAGATCATGTGAAGCAAAGGGTAAATATATTTTAAGGCTACTGCAACCACAGATTTACAGCAAGTTATGAAGTGGAAGAAGATGGAAATGATGAAGAAAAACTCAATGAAAGCTTACCTTGATCATAGCTTAAGGTGGGCTTGATCTCATATGATGAGGGAGTACCATAAAAACTTCAAAATATGATCAAGGGAATGGTAAAGCTCAAGGTGTAAAGACTGGTGGGTGGAGGCTATGGAGGGATGGATCTCTCTCTCTCTCTTAGTTATTTTTCTTATGAAAATATGTTTCTTAAAGTTAAGGTTAAGTTGGACCTTATGATGGTATTTATATGAAGTGTGTACGTAGGACCCTTGATGCACATCAATGGCATATGAGAGGTTAAAATATCCTAGCCACTCATCCCCATCCACCGCTAGGATGAAGGGATGAGATTTTGCCACCATTATCACTCACTAAAACCTAAATCAAAGCCACATTACCATTTTTGTCCTTAATCCCATGGTTTAATTCCAAACTCATCCAAGTGTGCTTACATAAAAGCCCTCAATGTTTATTAAATCCGATAGAGTGTAGAGATTCTACAGGGGCAAGGGCATTTTATTAAAAAGTATCAATCACATGGGAAAGGTGAAAAGGGGTTATGACACCATCAATAGAATTAACTCAACCCACACCCTTCACATGGGCTTCACACCCTTCACATGGGTTACACCGATGGGAAACTTCCACATGATATGTTCACATAGGATATATCCCATGTGGATAATTGTTTTAAAAACAATTTTTTTAATTTCAAAATTGCCTTGGCTTCACACAAGCCAAGCAAGTCACATGTGTGGCAATTAAGCATGTGATTAAAATTCAACTTTAAGTCGTAACCATAAATAACAAAATATTATAAGGTTTGAAATAAAAATAAGTAATCAAGTGCCACGAGGGCCCCAATGCATGGGGATCCACACCCAAAAAAAGGGGCCCAACGTGAGGGACCCAAGGAGCCATGTGGCAACCCTATGGCCACTCGAGTACCACATGGGATCCACATGGATGTCTTCACAAGGAATTTAGCGCAAACAATTTAAAAAATTACATTTTTGGTGATTTAAAAAATTCAAAAAAATCTTCAAAAATCCCAATAAATATTTGAAACATATTTATGCATATTTACATCATTTCTTATTATAATTAAATTGGACCAAAAGTATATGTGAGATTTCAAGGCTTTGACTCAGTAATGAGAGTACTCTATTGGGCTAGTCCTGAATGATGTTCCACCGGTGTCTCAAGTTGACCCAATAGACCTATGCTCCACAGTCTATGGCAAGGATACATAATCACATCAAAGTTACTGAGGCAGAGCTTCCCACCATCCGACTCTCAATGGATTACAGGTGCACCCTTGTGGGACATATTACTATTCTATTACAAGGGCCATCTCAAAGAAAATGTGCCCTGGCTCTTCCAATGTCAAATAATACATTTGGAAGAGTGGATTCCTATGCGAATGATTTGTGCACATGCCATGGAATGGTCTCGTGTCAGGCTACAAACTCATGTCTCTCAAGTCATGACCATTCCATACAAGGCCAGCTCTCATTTCAAACACTCAGGTTCCTTTACATTCGTTTGGTTTCTCCAAGCCCTGGCTAGTCACATCAATTATGAGGCATCCTAACCTACATCGTCTTGACTCAGAAGTGAACCTCACACCTCTCCAAGAGATCACTCTCTCAAAATGCAAACTCTCAATGCCTCATAAATACACAGGGTATTAAAATCTGGGCCCCAGTTCGCAAAGCACTCAGATTCTGCCTCTCACCCACTCCCACTGAGAGAGAGAATCTTGCCATTAAGGCTTTGAAAAGTCATATTGCCACTAGTAAGATGACATAAGCCTAAAACCCTAACATATATAGGTTGCTCACAGTATGTGCACTGGCAGTCGCATTTTGAGAAGCCATTTTGATAAGGTAAGATCCACATATAAGAACTATGCATGTGTGCTAAGAGAGGAGCCCAGCTTCCACAAGAGTGCATGTCCTTGGGGGGCACCTGTAATCCATTGAACAACCTTGGAGTCCATCCAACTATCAATTAGATTTGATAAGTCCACTCAAATCCAAACTAAAGTCTGTGATGCATAAGGGCCTGTTGGGTTGGTCTGAGAAATTGGATTGGGTTTCCGTGTCTAGACCAGTGGAGTACCACACACACCGACCTCCTATGGAACCGGGTTTTTCCACCCAGGATTTAAGAGAGTTGTCAAACCTTAATGTTTGACAAGAAATGATGAAAAATGTTTTATTATAATTTTATATGATTTTTGGGAATTTTATTTTCCAAGGAAAATGCATTCACAAATTTGTTGTGTGCTAATTCCAATTAAGGACGTTCGTACATGTAGTGTATGGCTCACAAATGGCCAGTGTGTGCCCACGTACATCCCATAGGTCAGCCACGTCATTGCCCAATGGGAATAACATGGAAACCCTAAAACTAGATATGGGATCCTTGTATGGATATAAAACCTTGTTATGTATAATGTGTTTTATGGCATATATGTAAAGCACGTGTGAGTTCACATGTGGGAATGTAGAGATTCCATATTTTTCAAATTAATTTATCTTTTAATTATTTGATTGGATTATCCTTTAAATATTTAAAATGAAGGTTTCTAATTGGTGTGAAGGGGATAACAGGACAAAGCATGACACAAGATGATGTCATGAATGTGACCGTTCACTAAGCTTTACTATGAAGGAAAATTCACCATATAAACTTAATAGGTGGCACGCCACCCCTTTTTTGAATTTGAATAGGAGATATTTTATTAAGGGTTGTGATTTGGTGATTAAAAGATGAATGGTTGGGATTCATTTATTTTGAAAATTAGGGTTAAAGGGCACAAATAATATATTGTTGGAAATGTTGTGAAGGTTTTATTTGGGTACGGTGATAAGGGCGTACTCATTCATCACCATCCATGTGATAGCCATCAATGATGATTGAATAAGCTAGGTCTTAAACCTCTCTCAACCCTTGGATCACTCTATGGGTGGTTTGAGATCTAATCTAAGATGTGTACCCCACATGAGAAGTATAAATAGGACCTCTTGCTCTTGGCTAAAAGCTTGTTAGTTAACTCACAGCTCTTCTCCAAAAGGGCCTCACGCCCCACTCCTTGAGCTCTTCTCTAACCCACTTCAAAGGTCTTCTTTTGTGTTGCCTACCCATTTGATTGTTACTAGCCTATAACCCATGCTGAAGGCCTTATACTCTAAGCTTCATCTCGCACCATCTATTGCATCATGGCTGCTGTTAAACCAAGTTTTGGCTGTTGTTATGCCTAGCAAATGTTGCTGGAAATTCTCATAACCCTCTTTGCTATACCATCTCTAAGATCCTAAATAGACTCACCCCTTTCATGCTCTTCTCCCATGATGAAGTGTGATGTCTACCACTTCATCATGCACTTTTCTCAATCGAAGTTTGCTTGTTGTTGTGCCAATCAAATGCTGCTGAAATTTTATGACAATAGTAAGCAACTCTCTCTCATAAGTTTTCTTTTAATGTGGTTAAGTGTTAGAGAGATGAGGGCCTTTCTACTTTGTGCTTTTGTAGATATAGTTTCCATGTTATCTTGTGCAAACTGTTGAGACTTTTATGTTGCTAGAAATGCTAGCATAAGAAGCATAACAGTGAGCTCTCCCGTAGCTCCACACACCAAACATAGACTTTTTGATGTCAAAGTGGTTTGGACCTTTGAATTACCCTAGAGCCGAAACTATAGCGTTTCAAGCCCATTTTAGCTCCGACTTCTCCCCGTTTGTTTCACATGGTCCTATGCCCAATCTTAAGTTGTTTTTGGGATCTATGTGAGTATGAGAAATATGTCATGTGGTAGTAAGATTTATTTGCTTCCCGAGATTAGATCAAAACCGGACCCTTCTTGTTCTATCGAGAGTGAGTGATAGTCAAGAGTTGTAATTATACCGTTGCGGTGTTCGTACGGTAGTTATTATGAAATTGGCTTCCCATTGGATACTTTAAGCTCATGCACATTGTTTTTTTTTTTTGTCTTTATTTTGTTCTATTTTATTTCATTTGAATTGTAAGAAACTATTCTCAAATAATAAGGGCACACTTGTGTTTAAGACTACTGTAATTTTTTTTGTTATAGTGTGTAGTAAGTGGGGGTTTTCCCAATGTGAAATGAAAGATTGTATAAGTCTTTTGCAAATTTTTTATTTTACATACCTCATGTGATTCCCTCGATACTACTTCATATCTACTTCCATCTTAAATATATATTGAGCAATGAAGAAATCAGATAGCATGAAAGTTAACAAGTGAAACTAAGTTGTGATAAGTTGATGCCAAAAAGATTGCTATTCTGACTTCCAACAAATTTAGATCACAGACATCCAACATGGAAGTACACCTAATAAGTATATCTATTGTTAAAAGTATAAAGCAACAAGATACGTTCTAACACTGCAATTTCAGCAAGACAATCCTGTATACTAAAAAATTCTTGTTGAAATCTTGATTCAATTGTCAAATTGACCAATATTATAATTTTCTGCTGAGAAATGGCTAATACATTTTCATTGCAGGTTGCAAAGGCACATCAAATTATGCATGTACACATAGCATTCTTCAGTATATCATAGAACAATTAATGAAGATTGCATGAATATAACGTAATGTTTTTGGTATAAGTAAAATCTCTTTGGAACATGTTGATATTTACTTAAACCAGGAAGAACGTCTATAGATGAGTCAAATTAAGCTTCTTAAGTTGTTTCCGACAAAGAACTTCAAGGAGATCGTAATATGAAAATCATTTAGAGTATATTGACATGAATAAGAAATTTTATTTTCATGAAACCTTATATGCATTGAGGGACCAAAGAAAACTGATCATAATATCTAGATCTTACCTAAATATTATTGCATTGGATTCAGATGCTTTCTTCCAGTCAACAAATATTGGCAAAGTCAGCAGATAGTCAGTGTTTAATGCAGATCTCAACTGTAAATCACGAACCGAAAGTTCTTCAAACTCCGCATTGCGTAGAAGTTTCATAAAAGTTCGCTGGAATCGAGTTGCAACAGCTACTCTAAATAGAATTGCCTCCAATGAGAGAATTGTATGAAAGAAATTAGCTCCAGCAAGACAAGCATAGCTCAATGATTATTATCTCATAATCACAGTTTGAAAGTAAATAAATTACTCACAATACCAAGTTTAAGCATAATATATCCTCTTCTAAGAGTCGATCTGAGGAAGCCTAGTCAGATAAATCACAACATTACCCATTTAGATTCATAATAAGATGAACTATTAACCTTACTCCACAAGAGGACATCAAAACCCAGTGCAACAAAAGGGGACTGATTGTCAATAGAGAAACAACAACATGAAAGGATGCATGTTCCACCACTTGCAAGATCATCAGTAGATGACCATCTTTTCTTTTAAGGATGATATTATATTAAATAAACGAAGAAAGAGAATAAAAGAAACTTACAGAGGACCTTGGGGGAAAAAAATAGAAAGGGCAATACATGAGTTATGAGTTATAACAACTTTAACATTGCTCATCGCTCACACAAAAGAAGTATCCCAAAAAGCACTAAACAAAATTTTCTTTGTCGATCAAAGTGAATCAACAGATTAGCATTTGGCGATCAACTACTTTGCATCCCATTCACATTCCCTAGGACCACAGACTCAGAGTCCTAACTCCTTATCATCAAGTCTGAACCTACACTACCTCCTAATTCCTAAATAGCATTAATTCAAAATCCAGCCAAAACATTGTTAAGATCTATGAGTCTATTAGGTCAAACCACTTCATCAAACTGTATGCCTCATAAGTAATTGGGTTTTTCCAGCACAATTTTGAACATCTCAAACAACTATGAATTTAACAAAGGATTTTACCGTTGAATAAACCCATCACAGAATGTTTGAACTCAGTACGGGTGGCAGCACATCGAAGGAAGAAGCAGAAGAAATAATTCATAATGTGGACAGGCTATCCATAGAAGCACTCAGTCACTGATATTGAAATTAGGCAAACTTGTCGGTTGAGTTTAGTTCCTTGAAGTTAGGTCTCAAACTATTCATGAGGTTCGTTATTCACCAGTGTTTTAAAATGGGGGATGCGGCCCTGATGCGGTGGGGGGGCGATGCGGCCGGATATTGCGATAATGTGGTCAATAAATGTAAAAAAATTCTAAAAAATCTAAAAAAATAACTTAATGCATAGAAAAAAATATGAAGGTGATATATGTGATAGTAGGTATTTTAGTTTAATGATTAATTCAAAACTATTAGCTGTCGAAATTCTGTATCCAGTTAACTACCCATATAAATATTTCCACAGAGCAAACATATCACACAATTTCTATCTTTGGGATTTTTTAGTTTAGCATATTTTCAAGCGGATCCTTATTACTAGAAGATTGGTAAAAAAACATTGCCCCAAAATATGTATAATAGTAATATTGTACAAGAAGGAAAAAAAAATTTCCGACTCTATGAAGCACTGCTCGATTTCTTCACAACCTCTGAAAACCCTGATTTCTTATCACAAATTCACCCTAACATGTCCAAATCAACAATCAAAGGCATCCAATGAACATCCAAGTATCAAACAACCGCTAAATCGAAGATTTCGATGAAAAAAAATTCTGCCTAAATTTTTTTTTTACCTTGATTTGATGCAAAAAAAGCCAAAAACATGACTGAAAATCTTCGTTAGGGCCCCCCAACAATTTCCCTAACATTTGGATGGTCAAAAAGACCATTTTACCCCTCCCCGAGGGGCAAAACAAAAAAAAAATTCGGCAGACACTGGGATGCGGTGCGATGCAGCCTATGCGGGATGCGGCCTGATGCGGCGCATATGCAGCCGCATCTGTCAAAAGCGCATATGCGCCTATTTCTAATGCGGATGCGAGCGCATCCCACATGATGCAGCCGCATATGCGGTAATGCGGCGGCATTTTAAAACACTGTTATTCACTACACAATATTACCTTTCAGTTCCAGACTCAGTCCTCCAAAACCCAACGTACTCCACCAGGTACCATAATTACAACCCAAATGTTACGTAACATTTTCCTCAAAGCCTCAGAGACATTCCAATTCGAAGTTGCAATGCATGTATCATAAACCATGACGCCTCTCTAAGTTATTACCAAGAAAATGGAAGGACAACCTCCATCACTGCTCAACAATCTTCATCTAGGACAATTAGCTCTAGCATCCTCTCCAAACTCTCTTGGAAATAAACATAAAACAAGATTCTCAAGCTATCCTTTTTGTGATGCTTATCAAGGAGACTTAGGGTATTCGACAAGCTGGTGGTGATTGTTTCTAACCATCTATAGCTCACATGAAAAGCCAGTTGCTTTTTTGAGACAACACGAAGGTCACTAGTCAAGGAAACGTGTGAGCAAGAAATAGAGGAAAGTCAGTAAATCTTTCATTTTGGGGAACTTTTAAGTGCACGAGAAATAACGCACAACGAGACAACAAAATTGGCATTTCAAAAATCTGCTACTTGAAGTTAACCACTAAATAAGCCAAAAGATAATGCAGAGTTTAATAAACTTTGCTTTAGTGAATACATCTTTTTTTTGGACAATGGTTTACTAATAAATGCACCTATGATATGCATGCGCCCTTTTTTTTATTTTTTTTAACTAAACATGTTTTCATTGAAGAAAGATGTACCTCCATGATGCAAGAGCACGTAGAAACCCGCTTAAAGAAGAGTTGAAGCAACTTTGGAAAGACCCCACAATGAACTCGAGGTCGAGTCTTTTCGAGAAGGGTGAATGATGCAGTACCCGATCAAGGCATGTTCCTATTCGACACTCTTACTCAGCACCAAGGTGGATGCTCTGTTAGTGCGTGTGCATGTGCATTGGAAAAATGGTTAAGTGTGCATGACATTTATTATATTTTTTTGCTTTAGAATGTTTGTATAGGAAATAGGATGCATGCATGAAAACTAATGTATTTTTGTTCGGAAAACTCATATAGGAAATTGATTTGCATGTGCATGTGGTTTCCATGGGAACTAGGATTGCTTTAGAATAGTTGTTGCATGGGTAATCAGTTAGCTTCGCATGTAGTTATTGTTTTTGGAGTTCCAAAGGTGGGTTTTGGTCTTCCAATGTATAGGGACTTGATTAAGGGGTCATTTGAAATATGTAGCCTTAGGTTTTGCGTTTATAAAAGTGTTATACAATATTTGTAAAGCGGGATGACGAATTTTAAATGAAATTATTATTAGACACAAGCATTTTTCTACTACTCTTAGAGTTGAGTGAATCCTCCAACTAGGAGTTGAGTGGTTCCTCGTTCGCGGCTTGAGCAATTTCACCCTACCTAGTTGGTGAGTTATTCTCAACAACATCTCGTAGGCCTAGGCCCGCATCAAATTGGTATCAAAGTGGGTTCATTCTAAGCACCCTAGACACTGCAATTGTTTGCAATGGCTCCTAAAGTAGAGCCCAAAACGATCCTTTATGCTCATCTTCCTTCTCACAAAGTTTGGAAGTCGGAGATTGGAACTTACCACCAATCTTTGACATGTAACCTAATAAGAATTTGAGTTCGGTAGAAGAATCAATTTATAATGTAATTGGTGATCCTACCTTTGATGAAAAGAAAGAAGAAAGTCCTATCTTCAACAAAAAACATGGTATTGGTCAGGAGGATGATGATATGACGGTGATTATGATGGTGAAGATGATGGTGATTACATTGGGCTATTGCTTTGTTTTCAGTGGAGAGCCCCAACAACAACTACCTTGTTCTAAATGAAAGAAGTTGTGACTACAAATGTATGTTTCATCTTAACCCATTTTAAAGTTTGTAAGCGAGTTATCTCACGTATGTTCATGGACAATTATAGTAAGCTTACAACATGCTACAAATGTAATAATTTTTAATGTGGACAAAACATGATGAATAAAGTTGCTATGAGAGATGCAATAATTAGGAACACATTTTTCTCTTGTTTTCTTGAATTGGGTCTCGTCAAAATTGGGCAAAACTGCATATTCCTTGTTGATGACAGACATGCAGATCTAGCACTATTGTTGATGGCAATCAAGTATGGAAAAATTTTATATAGAGCCGAGGCTCTAAACAATCAAATTAGAGCCCACCTCAAAATTTTCACTAGACGAGATTTGTTTTGATGCCCAAATATCCTCAAATTGATCACCTCGACATCAAGATGCATGGACATGAGAAAAAAATGGATTTCAAGTTTTGAAAATAGTGCATGTTGTAATGCATTTTTGGACAGTCAATTTTCAAGATTTTCAAGTTTTCATAAATTTGTTAGATCTGCACTATTTTTTAAGCTTTAAATTTTATAATTAAAGATCAAAATATATTTTAAGGATATCACAAAGATTTCCAGTATTGAAATCATATTTCTCGACACTATTTGAAGGCGCACTTTACTTTGATTGTTTAGAGCCTCGGCCCTATACAAACCGCACCCATTAAGTATTGCCCATATTGTTGGCATGCAAATCAATATGCTTACAGCATTCTTGTAATACATAGCCTTGTACATCAAGGATTAGAACTAGTGGCAATCTATCGACAAGATGGGTTATCTCTTGAATAGTATGGTGCACTAGAATGGGCTTTCCCTATATGGACAAAGAAGCATGCTCTTGATAGAGGCGAAGCGGTAAATTGTGTACCAAGGCAGATAGAAGTTTCTTATTGCGAAAAATATATTCCCTTACTAATTTCCCATGTTATATTTGCCAAGATTAATATAAAGGGGTTTCATGATCAGGCAGTGCCGAATATTTTACTTAGAGGTTGTGATGTGTTTGATGTTTTATTTGTTCCAAACAGGTGACCGTGTTTTCTATTGAAGAAAGTTCATTGGAAATGTGCATTCACAAACTCATGGAATATGAAGCTAATAAAATTAGAGTGGCACAATAGAAGACGATTTATATTAATTTCATCTTAACCCACTTCAAAATCGAGAATGAGTTTTCCCCAACAAGGGGAGTATGATGCAGAACCAAGTAGAATGTCCCCCTTGAAGCGGTAACTTTGGAAAGACCTCACAATGAACTCGAGGTCGAGTACTTTTTAAGAATGGGTGATTGATACAGTGCCCAGCTATGGCATGGTCACTCAGCACTAAGTTGGATGCTCAGTTAGTGCACGTGCATGTGCACTAACTGAAAAATGGTTAAATATGCATGATATGTAAGTTTTTTGCTTTGGGAATGTTTGTATAGGAAACAGGTTGCATGCCTGAAAATTAATACATTTTTCGTTGGAAAAACTCACATAAGAACTTGAGTTGTGTGCACGTAGATTCCATGGGAACTAGGATTGCATTAGAATAGTTGTTGCATGGGTCATAGGTTTGTTTTGCATGTAATAATTGTTTTAAGAGTTTCAAAGGTGGGTTTTGGTCTTCCAATGTATAGGGACTTGATTAGGGGGTCCTTGGATGCATGTAGACTTATGTTTTGAGTTTATAAAAGTGTTATACCATGGTTAAAGAGAGACGACGAATTTTGAATGAAATTATTGTTGGATGCGCGCATTTTTCTGTTACTCCTGGAGTGGAGTGAATCCTCCTATTAGGAGTTGGGTGATTCCTCCTTCCTGGTGTGAGGAATTCCACCCTACCCAGCTAGTTGAGTGATTTTAAGCAACATCTTGCAGGCGCCAGCCTGCATCACTCCACCTGGATACAGACAAATATACCATGCATGTGCATCTTTTACAGAGAAAGAATACGATATAATTCAGACTCTGTATATGTTTCTGCATATGAAACAACATACCCACACACGATAACAAAAACCATTGAAGCTTTTACAACCAATAATAATAGGTACTATTACTGAAAGAGCCACTACACACTCCATGAAAGACAATGTCACTAACCTTGACTCCCCAACACGGGATCTGTCACATGAAAGTGTCAATGATCCAAATTCATCTATTTCTTGCTCGTTTGCTAGATTTTGAGCAAATATATTTCTTCTGATGCCAAGAAAATCAAGCCCCAAATGCCGCCCATTTGGAAAAGTCTGATCCTCCAATTGGCTGATAAAGCGTTCCTTATAAATTTCTTCTCTTCTAGTGCCCTCCTGCAAATGGGTAAGGCTATAATCAAGTCGCATCTCTTCGAGAATTCCCTTGTGCTCAGCATGAATAATGGAGTCTAAACACCTGCATTCACAAGGATCACAACAATTGCCAAATCTGCACTTCACATAAAACAACTGTGCAATATGCACAGCTTGATCCTTGACGAAAAAACTTACAATAAAATGCAATTGAAACTACAAATACCATACACTCAAACAAATAAAATTATGAAAAATAGGAAAATAATAATAAAATAACATAAATTGACACAAAGACTCGCTTGGACTTTGGAGAACATATACAATGGATCATTTTCATAGAAATAAACCAAATGTTCCAGACAAAGTCAACAATTTGTTTCTTTAGCGCTTCTCAAAAGATAATTCCACCATTGCTCACAAAACAAACACAAGAAAACTCCAAAAAACAAAAAGAAGACTGAAACAACTAGAACACATGTTTTCATGGAAGATAAAATAACAACTCCCATAGATCAAGAGAAATAGTAAATGGGTCATTGGACTTGGTACCACAAGAATTAAGGATATCAACATGTCCCTAATAGCTAAACTCGCATGGGAATTTTTTTTTTTTTGATGAAATGTTTAACTACTTGCATGGGAATTTGTTAGTGAAAGATAATCCTTGTGGTTGGATTTAATGAGAAAAAACTACCTTTGGAGACACCATATATGGACCTCTAGAGTTGTAAGGAGAGGATATTAAGCTTGGAAATATACACATGAAATACTCCTCTGATCAAGAGACATAGCCAATCGCAAGTGAGATGATTCCAATATCAACTTTTAGTTTGACCTTTGACTCAATGAAGGGCATTTCATGAATTGTTTGAGTGGGAAATTATAATGGATTTGGGGCTTGAAAGAACCATTATCATTTCTAAATTTTGGTATGAGAATGGGCCAACTCTCCGGCCTCCAAATGGCAGGAAACAATCAACTTGGAGTCTAATTGAAGAAAGTAGCCTACCAGCAAAAAGTGATTGAGAATAGGCTCACAACACATTGATAGCCATATGGGAAAAACCAACCACCTTAGGGCCTCTTGGTTCACATGATCAGCCTATGGAAAGAGGCTAATTACCATAGATAGAATTCAAAGATGGGTCTCCAATGGGGTAATATGTGCTACTTATGTAAGGCTGATAGCGAGCGCCATGACCACATCTTCACCACCTGCGGATTTATCTTGTGGAGATTCAGCGTCAATTGCTATATCTGGCAAAAGTATCCAAAGCCTCCTAAAAAACTATGTCCCAAGTAAATTCACCAACAAGTACCTAGTCAAGCTTTGCCGAGTTTCTGTCCCAGTATAATCCAGGTCACCAAGCAAGAAGGAAATAGGAGGGCCAAAGAGCACCACAATTAATCTCTCCAAGGATTACTAAGGGAGGTAAAACCGAAGATTAGAAATAGTAACCTGGAAACAATGATAGCCCCATCAAAGAATGTACCAGTAAGAATCATTCATAGAAGATGGCAAATTGGACATCCCAAACAGCCTTGAGTGGCTAGGAACATAGTGTATTTGTCGTGAGGACCCTATCTACAGAGACAGAGTGTTGACAAATGTAATTGGTACTTCTTCTACATATGTTCATACATTAATACAATGAGTGGGATGCCCACCCAAGAACCTCGCTAGCTTCGCTGAGAGAGAGAGAGAGAGAGAGAGAGAGATTAAGAAAAAGAAAAGAATAGAAAACAAAAAACTTACGATGACAAGCGAAGAAACTCGTACAATTTCCTTCTGAGAGTCAAACATGGAAAG